AATATAGAAGAGAGAAAAAATATTGCTTAAACTGGAAAAATACCCTCACAGAACCTCAAACATTTTTGACAAGTACAATATATGCAGGTGTTGTATCAAATTTACTTCAAGCTTTTATTAAAAAAAGAAAGATTAGGTACATTAAATAAAAAGAAAGGTTTTAGAAATGTCTGTTTAGCTGTCAAATGTTTGTAGGACAGGCAGGAATCTTTTGCATGTATATATGAAAGAAATATCACACAGAGGATGTGCAGCTGACCTACAAATTTATTTGAATGCATGACTGACATATGCAAAATGTACAAGCATGTATGAAGGCTTTGAAATGCAAGTGTGGGGACAGGACAAGTGCAGCTCTCATGCTTTGCTAAGGATAGTTTCTCCCAGACAGTTTATGTAGTGTGCTGAGAGTGTCAACTGATGTGGAGAGTACTGGAAACTTTCAGGCGTAATTAACCTCTGCAGCCTCTTAATGTAGTCTCACCTATAATCCACAGGTCCATATCAGAGAAGAGCAAAGAGTTTGTTCAGGCACAATTGAAACATTTCACAGAGAAGTCACTGATTAAAGCCAGATGTACAGACAGTAAAAGAAAAGGAAAACAGAAAAAAAAAAAAAAAGTCATGTGGTGCCCATTAACTCCATATATCAGCTGAAACAGTCCACGCTTCTTCTGTGACATCTTGATGCATCAGAGGAGGACTAAGATTAGCTTTGTTTGATATATCCATCTTAGAGTGACAGAAACAGGTGAAATTATACCTAAGGGCTTCAGGAAACAGTATATTGAAAAGATTTGTCACAATATGAAAAAAACCACAATTGTCAACACCTTATTTTCTCCCCTCATCAACATAGAAGCAAGAGACCTGTGTCATGTCAAATGCAAACACACAGCCACAGAGAATTATCTATGGGCAGGATTTTTCAAGAAGATCAACAGTTTCATGCACAGTGTTAAGCCATTATGGGTATATGTCGCAATTCTCTAGTATTTCTAATTCAATAACTCTTAGGGACTGAAGCTACTATTCACTGCCTGGAACTGTCTATTCCTGCAGTCGTACAGGTTTCAGTGCCTTGAGCTTCAAGTACTAACTCAAACATTTTATAAACTGTCAAACTTCTTGCCTGAATCAAGAACTTGGACGCAGGCCTGTGAAAAACACAACAAAGTCATTCTCTACCTTTAACATCATGTCAATAGTGAAAAGCTTGATTATTTTGGCAAAGAACACTACAACTATCTTCTGAGGATTTATTTGCTCATTCTCCAGCTCTTTCCTTTTTTTGAATTACTAAGCTACAGGTAACTTTTATGACCAAATGTTATTTCATTTGAAAATATCACTAATTTAATTTCATTTCCCCATAGAAGTAATGGGCTTCAACCAAATTTTAAATTCAACTTCCTAAATATTATGATAAAATAATTTTTTATATTTCTAAAAGAAAGAAATATCTTGTTAAACTTACTATAGTAAAAAAAAAAACATAAATTCAATTTGGACAGTTTTCATGACATATTTTTAACTAATTCCCAGAAAATGTCATGCTTCATCTAGACTGACATTATTTTAGACTTTCATTTTGTAAGAAAGTCTTTCTCAATATTTCCTATTCACTCTAATTGGAAAATGCTCTGGCATTTCAACATATTTAAGAAAGTAGGGAAAATAAGTTCCTTCCCCAAAACACTCATAACTCAACATTCTCCTTTCAAATTTCGAGAGGTCTTATATCCAAATCAATGAGAGTAAAATATTACATGATAAATGTCTTAAATTCACCTTTGTCTACATTAGCCATATTCGGATCATCAATCTTGACAGAGTAATTCAACATTTTCAACATTTTACCCTGTCAAATACACTATAAACCAGGCCCATTTCTATTGTCTATACTTATTGTACTAATTGGGCAGACAGCAGTCACTGGCAAAAGTGAGGTCTGGTTTGGAGGTTTACTAGTTTTGGCAATCTTGGTATTCCTATTTTAGGTTTTGGACATGGTGGACAGTTCTAGTTTAAGATCTTAAGGTACATAGAAGCAGTTCTTGGAACGCAGCAGAATGAAAGCATTATCTTATAAGAAAAGAGCATGTCTAGACAGATCCAACCATCAGACCAGTAAGAAATGCTTCAAATTAAACTGCCCCAGAAAAGCTATTAAACCATGGTCTGGAAAGCAAGACAGCTGTTTCCAGGGTGCCACACAGGAATTTCTATGCTCCACCATGCATATAGCTTATCAGCCTATGTGGATGTAGCTACACTTCTTCACATTCAGAACCCACAGAAGATAGTGGGCTGTGTCTTAGCACGCTGTTCTCTGTTTAGCAATGAACTTAGTGTATTAAGTTTAACAGAGGGCAAAAAAAAGGGGAGAATACAACTGCCCTCTACATTTACACTGCAGTAGTAAACTGTAAAGAATAAAAGCTTTGGGTCAGTTAAAGACACTACTTGGGCAAAAGAATTGAAAGAGCACTGCTGATTATCACAAAATCATAGAATCATTAAGGTTAGAAAAGACCTCCAAGATCATTGAGTCCAAGCTTTGACCAAATACCTTGTCAACTAACCATGGCACTAAGTGCTGCACCCAGCCATTTCCCGAACACTTCCAGGGTTGGTTTCTCCAACATCCCTTTGCAAAGCCCATTGCAATGCTTAACCAACATTTCAGTGAAGAAATTCTTCCTGATGTCCAAACTTAACCTCCCTTGGCACAGCCTGAGGCTCTTGTCCTGATGACAGTATTTTGGTTGAAAATAAGAATTATTTGTAGCCCTTAGAGGAGTGAGACTGTGGAACAGCCTATAGCTAAGGGGTATGGTGAGCAAACCTATCTAGTGTTAATTGAATTTGTTAAACTTCTGAATAAATTTAAAAAATGAACACTGGTGACAACAGTATTAGAGTATGAGCTGCCATGAGGTTTTCTTTTGTCCTGCTTTTCCGTGATTTGACACATTTTTAACTAACAGACACACACCAACCAAGTGTAAAAAATGCCTATTGCAAGGCCGTGCCTGCAACATAGCTCCCCACTCATCATAAATCACACAGCAATGCTGTTTCCTTCCTGATCCTGGGACACAAGGCCTGTCTGGTTACTTTGAAGTGATCCACCAAAAACTGATGTTACAAGAAGTCAGGGGAAGATAAGTAAAGACTGTTTTTTCATATGGTAAATTCACTGGTTACCTATTATATGGCTTTACAGAACTTCTCTATTTTAGGCCAAGAGCCACAAACCATTTCCCACCTATCTGCAATTCCCAAACTGCCACAAACAGATGTTTGTAGGTGGGAGAGGCCATCTGGGAATGCCCATCTTGTCTAAGACAATGTGTTCTGGAAGTGTGCTAAAGATGCCATTGATACTGTGCATAGGCTACTGTTCCATAGAAACTATCTGCTGAAGGTATCCAGGAGGAATGGTTCCAATATGGGTTTGCCTTTGATATTCATGCAGACATTGCGAAGACAAGAGTTTCTACAGTAGTTGGAGGGTACAGAAAAATGAGCTTATTGTGGGAATACAGAGTGCTCCTGTCTCCCCATTGCGTCTTGCAGCAAAAATACTTATTTTTGAATTTCCTTTTCTTTTTTTATCTCACAACTGACCTTTTCCTTGGCTATTTCAGCCTTCTGTAAAGCTGACATCTGCAACTTTTTCCAGGATTGGCACAACTCATAAAATCAACTCGTATTTACTCCTAGACTAGGTTCTAAGGTGGTATTATTACTTTTATGAGGTGTTGAAATGATGTTCTTGAGAGAAATTGAAATCACAGTGAGAATAAATTGACTACTTTGCCATTTTCAGAGAAATACTAGGAACGCATAAAACTGAGATCTGAGATTCTGTAGAGGGTCAAAACTCCGTCCTCTCTGTTCAGAGTCTACATGATTTTGGTAATTTTATTTCAAATGTCACTCTTTTAACACTCCCTTTACTTTTTTTTTTTCCGTTCTAAAATATCCTGCATGCCTTTTATGAATCGTGCCTAAAGGAAAAAAAAAATCCATACCAGCCACTCTTCATGTGATTTCTCCAGATGGAGCTTAGCTGCTCTCTGACCACTCCAGTGTACATTTGCTTTAGGTAATATCATCCAGAATGGCTGAAATCTTGTATTTATGCCAGTAAAGCTAAGATGTGTGATTTCTCCTGGGGGAAGTTTTGAAACGCTAACATAAGCTGGTGAGACTTAGCTGAGGATTCAGAACAAGTGGTTGGAAGGTTTCTCCTCTACTTACTCACTTCTGGCCCTGATTCCCTGATTGCAGCAGTCTCTTTTTCAGATCTGTTTCCTTTATCTATCTGTAGGCATTTTTCTTTGGTTCCTGCGTGAATATATTTTCTTCTATCAAATATCTCCTAAACACTAACTCGTCCGTACAAACTAAAGAGTAGAAGAAGGAAGCAATTAAGCCTATGAATTTAGAATCCATATGCAAAATCTGCTGGTTTTCAGACTGTGTACTTTCAAAAGGATAGGCTCTCTACAGATGGTATCTGTAGTGAATACATTAATGACATTTTAAACATTTATCTTTCCTGATAAAATAAACTCAGTTCCCAAACTCTTCCAAAGGATATCTTATGGGCTACATGCAGCTCCTAACTTTGCTCATTAAGAACACCTTATTGTCAAACATTGACAACTTTATTTACTCCACTGGCTGATGGGCATTTTTACCAAGAGTGGACAAGAGGACACTTTCCAAAACCTCTGTCGTTGGATAGAATTGTCTATTGTCACTAGTCAATCACTTCTGTGGACTGTTCTTCCACTTTCTGTATCTCTAAGTAGTGTTATATTTGTCATCTAATCTGTCCTACATGTACATCTATGTTGGAGACATCCTCTACTATACAAAATGAATAGTATTACCCTTTATCCTTCAATTCCCATTTCTATTAAGAAAAAGTATGTCATCCTTTGTATTGTGAACACAAAATAAAGAACAGAGTAGAATCACCAGGCTAGGGATTTATGTTGCAATAAGCTTGAATAAAGATAAAGGAGAAAATCCTGGTCTTTGAACTCTCTGCCTCAGTCCCAGTCTCTGAAAAAGAGGAAAATAACATAGCCATATTTCAAGTTTTGGTTGGCGAATGTCTGCAGAGGTGAAAAATTCTAGCACTGAATAGTAAGCCTAAGATCTATAGCACATTGCCAGTTTTTTCTGTGACACATGAGAATTTAAGCACTTGTTATTTTGTTTTTGCTGCAACTCAAGAAAATTTCAGCCACGACTTATCGAAAGTAACCATGGAGTTATTGTTCTGAATATTGCTACAGTAAAACAGTCTGTTGGCCTAACACAGGACTCTGTAATTCTGTCTTTTTCTAAAGAACTCTTACCCAGTTGAAAAGTTCACCTTACCATATCAGTTATTTTTGTTTAGAATATATTAACTTTTTGTTCCTAATGGAAGCCAGTTAGAAAAATGAGGGTGAGAGGTTAAACATACATCTGGTCTCCCTATTTAAAATAGAGGTTTATCTTTTGCACGTTGCTGATGATAATTTAGAAGGATGGGGGGGTACAAAGGAAAAGCACACTTGTATATTTTCCTGTTATGAAAATGGCAGCCTCCATTTTTCATTTGCCATATGAAATAGCTCTGCCTGTGCTTTTCAGCTTTGTGTTTAATTGTTGGAGCCAAGAAAACGATGTGAAGAAACAAGAGAGATTTTACTTGGGCTGGTAGGACCAAGTAGACTATATGGCAAGCATGGCTCTCATTATGCTTAAGTGAATTAGTGTCTGTTTCCTTTAAAGAAGGAGGGGGTAAAAAAGGAGAGATTAACAAGCCACCAAGGGCCTGCTGTAAGATTTTGACACTTTTAGTGGCTTGTGACAAATGACTCGTATCAGCTCTCCTTCAAAATCAGAAAACAAATCTACTGCTTGGATAAGGAATGCAAAAAAACCAACAAAAAAGCAACAGCAAAAAGACTCTATTACAAGGTCATGCTGACTAGGGCTCATTACCATTGGAACAAGAGAACAGATAAGTTCTTTAATTGACTAAACTCCAAAATTGTTATTAGATATGTAGAAGACTCTAACACTTGTCATCCTTTGCTAGGTAAAGCACATGCTATGGTCCTTCTGAAGACATTAATGTGTCTAATTAGTGCAATAATGACACAGATTTCTACTTACTCTCAAGAGATGTTCCAGCCCTGCAATCAACTTAATAACTCTCCTCTGGACTCATTCCAATAGGTAAATGGCTTTCCTGTGTTGGGGGCAAAATGTGTGCTCTTCAGTCAGGACCCCCACAGATTCTTTGGAAACTTCATCTTATGTGCTACATTAGTTGCACTGTCATGCAATCTACTCTTGCATTATTAGTCTATCTGTAAAGGGAGTTTTGCACACAGAAATTCTACAGCTTGGCACACAAACACATATATAAATTAAGACTTTATATATATATATGTGTGTGTGTGTGTGTGTGTATATTTATAACAGGCTCTTTGGAAAGCAGAAAGATTTTGAAACCACAATGAAAAAAATATTTAGCTGAAAACCCAACAATATGAGCACTAAACAAATGCCTGACTGAAGTTTACTCAAACAACAAAATTACATTCCCCTCCCTATTATGGACTTAATGAGAAGTGTCAAGTAACCTCAGCTACAAATTCTTGCATGAAGCACAAGGTAATGGAAAGCATTAGATGTTTTTCTCTACTGGTCTTCCTGCTAATCATTAGATACTTCTTGAGTCTGCACTGGTGTGTGAGCACAGCTATGTACATCCCACACCTGTGACTCCCTTTTAAAGGATTTTAAATTGTGATTAAAGTTTGGAGGTCCCTGGATAAGAGAGCTGACTAACACTTCCTCCATCTGCACAGTGGCATTTTTTTTTGTAGCATCATTGAATTTAATAGTTGACACCACTAGAGTTCTTCCTGAATATAAGCACTGTGGTTTTCTTTTTTAAAAAATTTCATTTTGGACAAGGGAATTACTATGATTCTGTCTGTACTTAAAAGCTGCATCAGTCTTTGTTATGCCCTGAGTACACTTGGAAACAAAAAGGTTAGGTCTTGCTGACCTTTATGGTCTACTGTGTACATCTATAAAATTAACAAAACCAAAAAACAGTTCTACAGTAAAGTTATTATAGATACTTTATAATAGCGTTTGTCTCTAAAGCCTCATCTTTGCAAAATGCTTCCTGTTTCATAAGCAGAATCAGCTGTAAGCAGAGTCCACAAATACTTGTGTGGCAGAACTGAAGGAATAAAGCAAGCATGGCGAATTTTGAGCAAATCTGGATAATGCTTTGAGGAATTATTTGGTGTGTGGTCTGAGGCAAGAAGCCACAGAGAGGCGGAAGTTAATCTTATGTACTCCCCAGCTGCAGATATGTCTTTTTGAGAGCTGACCGCAGCAGGAGAAACTGAAGAAATGACCAAGAGACCAGATTAATACCACATGAGCCAAGTGTCAGCCTCATTATAAGTGTTTTCACTAAAGTTGAAAAGACATTAACTTCGATGGCTGTCATTTCAAAGCAAAGTTGTGACATGTAAAAGTAATTGTAATAAATTAAACTGAAAGAATAATGTCTGTGACACTAAAGGGGAAGTACCATTAATTTAAAGAAATGATAGAAAATAAAAAACCCAAACAAATAATTTCAATATGTTAACTCCAATGCATCGACAGCATTTCAGGGAAATTAATGCACTCCCAAAACCGCATAATATATTAATACAATAAATAATAGGTGGCTATCATGCTCAAATTTCTTTGACTGATAGGTCTTACAGTAAGGAGTGAAATAACAATTATATTTTAACTGTTTAATCATGGAAACTATAAAGAATCTTGAGCTAAAACATCCTAATGTTCATAACTTCAAAGCAAAAGAAATTTTGACATTGCTTGTGATTATAATTTCATGCAGTAGAATCAGATCTAGAGCTCAGCTTGACAAGAAGATCCAATTTGTGCTCCACCCATGCTATTTGGTTAGGAGCTATTTTGCCATTAACTTTTGTTTTATGCTATGCAACAAATCTGTTGAGCAATCTTGACAGAATGCTTGCAAGAAGAGCTATAGAATAATTTTTTTTAAAACATTTTTTTCCAGTCAAAAGACAAACAGCTAAGTCTGCTAGAGTTAAGAAGTAGCCTATTCTTACCTGTCCTATAAGAGGACAAAACTGCCCTTGCTGTTTCTTATATCCAAACCTTTCAATAAAAAAAGAATTATTACTCTCTGGGTGGACTTTTTTTGCTGGCACTCATCACACTGTTACTAGTGTGTTTCACAAATAATTTGCTTTCATAACACCCTTGCTCATGTAGGAAATATTGCTAGTCTCATTTTATAAGCAGCAAAGAGACAAAGAGAAATCAGACTCAAATACCTACTCCTAGAAATTCTGAGGTACAATGAATAACAAATATATAAAGGCTGGTATTTCCTAATACTTTATGGCACTTCCTATATTAAAAATTTAATTCACGCAGACTATCCTTATGCCAAATTGTCCAGCCTTTTACCCTCTACCTTTAAGCAGATTCCTCTTCTGTGTTAGCTGACAATCACCAGGAGGATCATGAGGAACTCCAAAGATTCCCCCATCTCCCCTTATTCCCAGAGTATCTTCAGAGTACATGGTGAAGAATGTGAACCTTTATTTCCCACAATCCTACTTCATTATTCCAGCCTGTATATGTTTCAGTCTTGATTAAAAAAATCCATCATAGTAATTAATAATCTTTCTAAAGTTCAAATACCCTACAAGCTCTTCAATAAGGATACTTGGTGGTAGACCTTTTCTTTCCCAAGTAAGTTAGTTGCAAACTAAACTGAGCAGTTTAGAGAGCATATAGAAATATGTTCTGTGACATATTTCATTCAGATGAAAAGCATTTTCTCATCCAAAACCCTATAGCAAGACACTATATAAACTGCGTTTACCAATAGTAATCTTTCTGTCTTCCATACAGTGATCTTAAAATGTCAGTGGGCTCAGTCTTGTATCTCCTTAATATACAACTGAATATACAGTCTTGTATCTCCTTAATATACAATTTGAAACAATTAGAAGTCACTGTTCTTGACTGGTTTATGTCACATGAGAAAACGAAGTACCATACTAATGTATGGCTGCTATACAGTCTAAATGCCACAGGATGTACAGGCTGGGCTCCAATTACTACTTCCCAGGTTCTTCAGGCACATGAAGCTGTGAAAGAAATGATGCATTTGTAGTATCTGGAGCACAGATTTTTATTTTTTTTTTAGCACTGTCACCCTTTCCCTGGCCTGCAGTATCTCCTGTTGTATGTTGGGAATAGGAAGCATCATTGTCAGGATGGAGAGAATTACCAGTCTGGATGATCTCAACATCTCCTTCATCATTCTTGGCCTAGGACTAGGGATGCCCACAAAATAAAATCCAAGAGGAGCAGCAAAACTTCTTACATTGAATCCATTTTTGGGCTTCAGTGCTAACCTTACTAAATTTCATATTAGCTGCCTAAGTAGTTTAAACTACTCATTGCACTAAGAAGTGAGTCAGTGCTTCTGTGTGCTCATGAGTGTCTGGAAGCAGAGGTGATGCTGTTCTATGAATAAAAGCTATCAGACGTGACATTAAATGTTACTATTCATAAGAATCATTGTACTTGCACACGTGCTTTCAGCAGCATCTTCACCTCTAAGGATCTGAAACAATCATTATTTCCTTCCATTTCTTACATGCTATCTAAGCTATTTCTGTCAGAACCACATAAAGTGAAAATTTAAAATGTTTGCAATGATTTGTAACTCAGAACAGATAGTGAAACTCAGCTTGTGATAACTTTTTGCTCCAGTTTACACATGGTGGTGCCTTAGCTCAGCCATTCAGCCAAAGTACATACTGATGAATGACCCAGCAACTTGTAAGGGTAGCACCAAACCCACCCATGTATCTTGTATGGTAGGTTATATTTTCAGCATCTGAAGAGACAGCTGAGCAATCAGGCCTAGACCTTGAAGCAGAGTAACAACAAGCTACCCCAGCTTGGCTCATGAGGTTAGCTCTAGATTCTTCCGCTGCTTCTTTTCATGTTACCATTAGTTTTGCAGTTACAGATCCTCAGTGAGCACAGAACTTCTGTGTTGCAGTTATTACCACAATGTTTTGACAAAGGAAAGGTGTCCTGTCATCAGAATGGGAGCTGCATGCACCACTCTGCTTTCCCTGAGACAGGGAAGAAGGGCAGACTCAAGCCATGAGCCAAGGTTACAGTTCAGGGGAAGGTTTTGATTACCTTGCCTCCAACAGACACATGCCACAGGTACTAAGATAATTCATATGGATAAGAAAGGTACTTCCAGATTGAATTCCAGATTATCCTGTGCAGAATCAGGAGTTGAACACAATAATCCTTGTGAGAACCTTACAAGTCAGAATATTATACGGTTCTATGGCACGGTTTATACTTTTAATGTTTACATCCAGGAAAAAACATAGGGAAAAAATAAGTGTCTGGGAAACACAGAGAAAAAAGCTTTGTTCTGTTGAAGTTAAAAGATTGTTTCAAGGAAGATCAGGAATTTTAGCATTTCCTAAAGTGTCATAGAAATTTATGAAAAGAAGACTCTAACACCGCAGTCCTATAAAATCCACTTCGCATTAAATGAAGTCATCGTTATAGAGCATACATATCTGTGCACACATATATTTTGTACTAACAAACTTGTAACTACTTCAAATCTTGAAGATAAAGATATGACAAATACAAAATATGACATATTTTTTAACACTAAACATATCAGTCACAAAAATATTCTATCCCACTGTGGCAGCTTGGACTTGGCTCCTTGCCAAGTGTCCAACACCACTGCAAAAGCCCTTCCCCCCCTTTTTGTCTATGAACACATGGGAAGCAAAGGGAAGGAAAAAAAACCCAAAAGAACCGAAATAAGAGACCTAAAGCAATATATATATGTATTTACATATATATACAATTACAAAACTATATACACATAAGAAAGAAACCCCCAACACCCCCCAAAAAGCAGAACAATAGACATACACAACCAACAAAGAACTATCAAATCAAAATCTTAATACTTTCCTTAAGAAAACAAAAGCCACTCCACCAAATCTCTCAAATAGGAAAAACAACAGGCCTCACAGGCCTCACTCCTACACGAGTGAGACCGGCTGCAGGGAGCCTCCTGTCTCCAACTTTGCCGGAAGAGATCTGGCCAACCAACTTCCTCCAACTTCTATTTATATTCCTACTTATGTAAAGAATAACATGGAATATCGGGACACAGGTACTTCCTTAGTTTCGACCTGGTTGCCAGGAAGAGGCCTAGACCAAACCATTACGCCCACCCTATTCCATCCTTCAAAAATTAAACCACTTAGCATTCTAGAGTGTTGATGTCCTTCAGGTATATGTTTCTCACAGTGCATGGTATTATCATAGGGAAAATTTTAAGAAAAAACAAACAAACAAACCATCAAGAGCTTGTGGCTGTTTCAAATTGCTTATTATTTTCAAGGGCAAGTTTGCCAATCCTTCTGCTTGCAAGTCCATACTTACTTTGATATTAGGAATAAAGCAGGTTATTAATCCTCTTGAAAAGGGTAATGTGAAGAAGAAAACTCTAGAACATGTACCAAATAGTATGGACAGAATAGGGCCAGAGATGACACAACGAAATTGGGAGTTGGAAGTTTACATCACAACACCAAACACACACTGTTACAGAAATTCAAAAGGCATCTTTATGATTTCATAGTTTCAATCTGTGAGCAAACAGATGATACAATGAGATCAGACAGGACAATTCAACATCACTGGCAGTTCACAGCTGCCAAAGTGGGTAAGACATGCTCCCCCCCTCCCTGCTTCTCTCCCACTCATGACACATGCTGCCTCTATTTCTTTCTTGTCATCCTTTCTGGTGCTGCTCTGGTACTTGTCACACTTCCCACCCACTTCCTCTAATGCAGGCACAATATCATTGATTTATACTCAGGCTCCACTTAACACCATGCCTTAATTCCAATTAAATAACATCCTGAATCCTTCCAAAATGCTTCAGCATACCCTCCCCAACTCCCACACATGCTGACTACAGCTGCCCAGCTGTGCATCAGGAACCTAAAGAAACCCCTTTATATTTCATTTATTTCCATGCAATGTTTGAACCTCTAATATCAGTGGCAGAAAAAAGAAAACCAATGGGATTCCTCATCCCCCTCACCCCCCGCCCCCATTTTCACTTCTGCTACTCATGTAGAAAGAGGAGTCAGGAACTGCAAAAACCAACTAAGCTTATTGTCCTTCACATGTGTTTTCCACTATGAAAGGAGCAGGTATCATATTGCTTTCCTAAATCAAGGTTTATGAAATATCTGATCTTTATTTTTATATAACATTCACAATCATTCATGGTTCTAGTATCTGTAACCTTTTCTTCTTTTGCACAACACCAAAAATTATGGAAAGAGGAAACAGAAAGGCAATAACAGTATTTGGTGTAGTTTCAACATTTCCTTTTTTCTTAGATGTGCGTGAAAATTCCTCTTTAACTGTAGAAGATATACACTACTGACAGATTATTTAGAGGTAAATGTGAAAGGGGACAGGCTAATAATTCTTTAGGCTAACCATAAAATAGGTGAATGCTTTACAACTGACATTGTGAGTATATCAACCCAGTAATTGGATGCACGTGTTAGTAGCAGTAAAAAGGCACTGTCCAGTTGTCCACCTTACATGGGAATCTACTTTGAGTGTATTCTTTGATTTACTGTTGCAATTAGAACTGAATGTTCAAAGAAAGAACACAAGTGACCTAATTTAAAAAGAGTGCCTTTAAAGCCACTATTTGGTGTGTGACTTGGCTCACTTGTAACTATTTCTTTCCCCTGAAACTTCCATTTATTGCACTGTACTCATGAAGCAGCATAATCACTTTTAATAATCTGCTCAGCTAACGAATTCGGTTTCAATAACCATTCAGTGATTAAAGATTAAGCCACTTCCTCCTGACTCCTACCCGTGAAGATTTTAATTCTCTTCATAAACACAAAGAGCTTTCCCAGGCTGACTTTTCAAAACTTCATGAAACAGTGTTTCCTGTCTCCTTTTTACTGCGTTCTAACCAACAGAGATATTTTACAGCAAACTGACACAAGAAACAGAAGCAATTAGCAGAGCTAGGAAAGGATCCTTTGCATGCACCATTGATTATTTTTCACTGTAAAGCACCTGAACAACGAAAGGCAGCAAGATAGTAAAATATTGCATCAAAGTAAGTTGTCCAAACAAAAGAAGAAAAATTTGTTTGACAAGTACAAACAGTCAGACTAGCAGCACCAGCATACCTACCTACTGAGAAACAAACATGTGCTAAGGTTAACTAAATGCATCCTCCACTTCTGATCTGGTAATTTGGTACTCGTAGCCCAAAGCAAGCAAAGGCTATTTATCCATGCAGCCTCATCAAGCTGACACTAGTTGGCAATGCTGATAAACATTCAAACTATTTGTGCTGTTCAATGTGAAGAAGAGCTCTTAAATGATAAACCCCAGAATAAGGTAGTTCAGTGTCTAATTGCAATCGCAAGCAGTGGTAGCAAGTGTTCAAAAGGAGCAAACAGAAATTTCAACCTGGTGCAACTTTGGAGAAGAAGAGACTGTAAGAGCTGTCCAGAAAACTGAGAAAACAATGTTTCATTATGTCATGTTAATACCAAGAAGGAATTAGCTGAGTAATTTCTGACTGAGTAATTTCTGTGCATTGCTGACACTATTCCTATCAGCCCAATATTAAAGCTATGAACAGAAATACAATATTGTTTACAAATAGTTCTCCCCCCCTTATTTAGAATCTTCCTTGTGCAATCACATTACTTTCTCAGAGGAAAAGTCAGTAATCCACAACATGAGTTGTTGCCCTGTGTTCATATAGGCTGTTTTTAACTTAAGACACACAGTTTAACAAGATTTGCTCACAGAAGGGTTTTTCTTTTTCCAAAATGAAAAACTCTGTGAAATAAATGAAAACTCCCCTATTGCAGGATCTGAACTGACTTTCATTTGAAGTGAAAAGGCCCCTATTCACACACACAGCTCAAAGACATCTGAAAGTCATCTTAAAATGCCTTATTTCAAAACAGAGGATCTTAACCTGTGAGTGAATGCATCCAAGATGTTTCAGAAGTGTAAGCATATTCTATAATGCTCACTCAGCTAATGCCATCTTCAAGGGAAGTTTTGACCGAGCCACTACCTGTGAACCCTGCCACTAAAACAGAAGCATGGCATCTAGGAGCCTATATGCCCCTTGTTTTCTTTCTTCTCATGTTTCAAGAACAAACTTCCAGCTGTCCCTCTCTTTATATTTTTCTTTTTTTTTTTTTCCCTAAGTGGCCATAAGTTAGATTTATGAAGACAAAAAGACTTCTTACAACAATGTATTTTAAACAGATTTATGTTAGGACTACAGTATCAGCATGGAGGGTCCACAAGGCAGGAATGCAGCAAGGGTAACAGGAGAGTGTCATGTAGACATTAAATAGTACAATTCTTTCCACATTCATAAATCCTAAGTGCCTATGGTTTTATACTGCTGTTATAAATTATATGAGTTCTGTGGGGGGAAAAAAAAGAAAAAAAAGAAAAAAAAAAAGAAAAAAGTGAGAAATCATCTCCATAAGAACTTATATATTTCACAGTGAAGGTCCTAAATTTCAAATTACTTTACTAAAACAGTATTACTTCATATTTTAAGTATTTTCTTTGGTAAAACAATAAAGCAGAACTCTGTGGAGAGTAAAACAACAAAACACATATGCCTGCTCATCAGTCTTTAGAAAAACAGTGAAAAGTTCTCACATTAATTTACAAATACCATATGATGAGGAGTCAATAATTGCAAACAGTTAGCTTACAAAATGTTCAGTAGTAAAATAACATATTTTACCAATTATTCTAATCTGCTTGGAGCTTCATAGCTGAGGCCAAGGTATATCACTCTTTATTATTTTGTTGCACCTGAAGTATGATCAAAAAACTGAGTATCAAACTGAGTATACTGAATCAAAACACATTTAATGCTAATTTTCTGTATATAACCCAATATGTACTACAAATATCTATTTATCAATTATGTATGTATGCACACAAAATCCTCATTAGTAGTGTTTAGCACTTATAGCAATTAAATTGCCTGTTTACAATGTTTTCGGCTACAGAATGAGGCTCAGAACTTTCCTGCTTTTACTCACTTCGTTGTTAAGCTGATCCCACGCTAACTAAAGCAAAACCAAAGACTATCAGAGACTTCAGCAGTTCATAAAGCTTAATAGAAAAGATAATTGCATACTCAAAAGAAAAGCCTGGAATAGGTAAGCTCGTGGGAAATAGCTAATTATTTCTTGCTAGCTCCCCCGGTAAACACACTTAGTCTGCAATTGCTGTGTTTTTGCACTGCTTGGATTAGTCCACTTGGGATGCTCAGAAGGCCAATTATTAGAATATCTGCTGGTGTAAGCCCTTTTGGCTTTGCTTGAGCTAAATTAGCTTATGCAGTTGAGGGTTCAAACCCTTCATGTCCACCTCCTTCGAGCAGAGGTAACACCAGGCAGTGGCTGTGCCGCCATCTACCGTAGGTTCTGCATAGCACCGCTTGGTCCAAAGCCCGCAGGAATCGCTCCAGCAATTCTTCCCACTAATATGCAGGCTCAGTGACACAGACTTCACTCCCTAAACGCATACCTAAGTAATGGCCTGATGTTGAGTTTGCTCGGGCAGAACTCCCTCCACAGACTGCAGGTAGCTGCTGCTAATTAAGCACTATATATTTTGTTACTGTTCTTCAGCTAATAAGGTCTGTTCTGTAAATCTGAAGTCTGTGTGCTTCATAGTACTATTAACAATTGCATTAAAAGTCAATTGAAAATAGTATAGCACTCAGAAACACTACCTAGTTTTCTTTAACTAGCTTATCATAGCTAGTTCAAGTCATCCATTAATCCCAAATAATTTTACTATCTTCAATCAAGAAAGCTGTCTGGGTGCAAGTGAAATCAGAATCTGCATATGAGTTCCCTCTCAATCTTAATATATAGTTTAAGCTTCTTTTGGTGGTTCCAGGGTTCAAGCTACAGTGAAAGCTTTTGTGAAAGCTCATTGGAGGATTTTTGGATTTGTTTTTCCCCAAACTAGTATGTAAGTCTCCTGAAAGCACTACAGCTCTCTTTATTTGTGCATATAAATAGCTCTGTCAAGAACAGGGGCAAGGGACTTCACAGCTGTGGTGCTGTAGGACAAGCTAATAGTTGCATTTTGAGGACCAGCTTCCAGATATAAGGAACAAGAAAACTAAACTGTGTCCTACTTCTATCCAGTGATAGACTTCCTCCAGCTATGCCAAATGCTGCAAGTTCCCCCAGCCTTCTGACAAAACAATCAGGAGCAACCTTTGTGGTGGGTGACAGAATAATTCAAAGCAATCAAGTTGAAATACATTGGCCAGAGTAAACTTTAATTCAGTGCACTCTACACAATATTTATAGAGCAAATCTAAGAATGCTGCTTGAGCCATTTGAAGGCTGGAGGCTGAATTCTGTTTTCTGAATGTTTATTCTGACTTTCTCTAACTGTTCTTCTTACTTGACCATACTTAATTGGCAGTGAGCCATGAAAGCTGTTGTTTAATTACACAACATACCACGATCTTACAGACTTACTGATAAGGCTTTACTTCAGCATAAACTGATTTTAAACATTAGCATATGAGGATATTAGCCTCCAAATTAGAATACTTCAGTCTTGTGTGTCAGTAGTCACTTTTATTTGTTTAGAAAAACATGGTTTTGGGGACAGAAACTCATAATAGAGATTAAATAGTCTGTAATGTGAAACAGGATACAATTTAGTGGCCTATCTGGCTAATTCTATGCATGGCAGAAAGCTATTCATGTGTCACTACTTATTTTGGACCATATAAAAAATAAATCATATATTTGCATGGAACCAGTCCAGCTTGGGACTACAGCAGTATTATGATGGGATCTCTACACGTGAAGTTATGAAAAGCATAGATTTAGTGATGCACTTGCAACATTTTGCTACACAAACATCCTTGAATAAAGGCACAGTAAATATATTTTTAAATGGTCTTAGACTATGAGCTTTTACAGAAAACACAATTTCACACTGCATATTACAATGACTATTAATGACCAACATAAAACTCCGACTTCTGCCAACCAGATTGTAATTGTTTTGTATTGAAAGATGTTGTATAGTAGATCTGACTTTGTGATATAAGTGCAGTACACAAGCTGCAAGTTTTAAGATGATGGGAGTCCTTTCATCACTGCACATAATCCTCAGCAATAAGATAAAATTACGTATAATAAAGGCATTGTTTTGTTTTTATATGAAACAAATTATATTCTTTTCTTTTCAGCAGATACTCTGCAAATGTGACAACAACCATGACATCACTGAGAAGGCCAATTCTCTTTCTCATATACTGCCTGCAAAACCAGTACACACCACACATCCCCTTTCCCATAGTTGCAGGGGGTTGTTTTTGCATGTAGAATGAAATGGTAGGAAGATGTATATATGCACTTCAGTGTATTCCACCTCTTCTTGGCAAGATCTTGCAGAAGTTCATGCATGTGTACAAGTTTACTCATTGAACACTTCTGCTAGCTAAGTGGGACTGCTCAGATGAGTAGTTACTTCTCTGAGTACACCGCTGTCAGACTGGGCACCTTATAGTTTTTTTGGCAGCAGTACTCTGCATAAAAGAATTTGATGTTCTCAAAGATGCACACAAAGCTTTCATAATCCCATTTTAGGGGAATGAAAATGCTGTTCTCCTCCAAACCCAAAGGTAATCTAAGAAATACAGTGCTAGTACCTCATTCCACACACATTCATAAAAGTCAAGTCTTCCTTACAGCTGTGTTTTTCAAGAATTTGCCTTTCTATGAAATACACAAAGGGAGGCCATAAGAGTCACCTGCTTTCACACATAAAGCTTTTACAAACATTAGAGTGCATGATAAAGAATGAAGTTGCAAGGTGGAGCAAGTGAAGCAGTGACATATGGCACTGCAGCCTTTTTCTCATTGTTTGCAAGCCTATAATATGAATATTTACTAGAAATACAGCTGAGTTAAAGGCAGTATCTATCATACATCACGGCAACCTGCTGAAGTACTCCATATTTTATACATTAGTTAACAAGGGATCTCCTTAAATCACTTTCAGTTGTTTTAATTTAACAGAAGATTTATTCCCAGGTTTATCTGGATTTATGTAAAACAACCCAAGAACCAAAGTGTGTTCTTCACCAATAAAGAAAGTCTGTTTCCTCCAAGAGTTGCATAACAGAACTTACTTTCTCAGCATGTTCCTATAGTGGGATATTGGCGCTTAAGAGCTACAATGCAATATATTGTGATTTACTACAGTTACTTCAATTTGAGATTGCACAGGCAGGAAAACTAAACGAAGTTTACATTTCTAGCACTAACCGCCAAAAATACATTACAAGAAGCATTCTATTACTAAACCCCTAATTAGTACTACAGAAAAGCTCAAAACTTCAGCTACGGACACAACCATATGACTTTTGCTCTGAGATTATTTCTTAAAAAACAAAAAGAGAAAGAGAGAAAGAAAAGGACAATGAAACGCGTGTGAGGTCTGTGGGAAGGCAATCCCAGATGTTTACAATGGAGCGAGTAGCGTATAGCGGCGCAGCAGCCCGGCTGCCGCGGGGCGCAGCGCAGCACCGCCTCCCCATCCCCGGGGCCGGCAGCGCGGCCGCGCACCGGCTCCCAGCGCGGCCGGGCACCCCCGCGGCAGGGAGGGCACACGGGCAAGACCCCGGCCCGCAGGGACAAACAACCCCGCCCAGGGCTCGGGGAGGAGGGAGCGCAAAGCAGGCGGCTGTTGTGCGGGTCGGGGAGAGAGGCGGGCGCGTGTGTGTGCGTGGGAGCCATCGATTAATTGTTCCAAGTCATTTTAATGACAGGAGAAAATGATTTTCAGATTCAGGAGACAATGCCCCCCCCCCCAGGTTCCCCCCCCCACACACACACACTCTGCACCGCTTCCTTCCAAATCTTTCTAATTCGTTCTTCGGCCGAGCGGAGAAACTAAACGGTGCTCAGCCGAGGCCATTTGCAAGACAAATGTAACTGGAGAGACCCGCAGATACACGGGCTGGCGGGGAGCGGCGTCCCGGCAGAGCCGAGCTGAGCCCACCCCACCCTGCCCCGCGCCCCCTCCCCTCCCCGGCCTCACCTCTCCCTTCCCGTCCGTTCCCTTTTCTCCTCAGCCGGGGGCTCGGGCGCCCGGGGCCGCGGCAGCCGCGCCGGGGGGCGCGGCGGCGGAGCTGTACTTACTGAAGGGGCAGTTCTCCTTCTTGGTGCCGCTGACCTTGCCGTTCTTCTCGATCTTGAGAAAATACTTGTTGTAAGAGTAGAGCTTCCTCTTGCGCACGTCTCCTTGGAGGTGATTGTAGCTCCGCACGTGTCTCCCCGCACTGGATGGAGAGGAGAAGGACGAGGGGAAGGAGGATGATGATGAAGAAGAGTTGGTGGCCTCCGGGGACAGCATGTCCTGGCCGAGGTCATGGCAGGTGACAGGCACAGAAGACACCAAGAAGAGCAGCAGCAAGCAGCAACAAGGCAGGTGGGAAAAGGCTGAGGCACCATTTGTCAGTATCCATTTGCACATTGTACTGAAACTCTGGGCGCTGGAAAATGTCTTATCAAATGAAACATACTGGAAGGGTAAAACCTGGTAAAAGGCAAGTGGAGAGACGGTTGTTGCTGCTTCTGGTTAGATCCCTCTGAGCTCTGATCAGGCCTGAAGTAAGTGCACCAACATCCATAACTCAGGGGACAAATCGCCTCAGAAGTTGCTGCCTTTTAATCCTTCGAGTCCTCCCTCAGAAAAAAAGAGCTGTTGGTTGTGTTTTCTTTTTTTGTTTTGTTTTTTTTTTTTTTGGGGGGGGTGGTGTTGCTGTGGTTAATCCTCTTTCCTTTTTCCCTTCCCCACCCCCCCACATATACACACACTGCTCAACCTTGTTTGAGACTTCCCAGGAGTTATTTTGTTCACTTCCTCACTCCTTTCTTCACTATCTTAGATGCAGAAAGGTCTGAAAAACAGATGACAGCAAAGTCAACAACAACAACAATAACAAAAATAAATAATAACCAGCGGAGAGGGGTGCCGGAATAGCTTTTTCCCATATACACCTTTACACACACACACACTCACACTTTGTGGCTTTGCACCTTCTTCTGATCCCCACCCTCTTGTCTTTTTGCAAAACCCAAACCAGTTGCACAACTCGTCCTTTTCTCACTGACAACCCCAGAGGAGGAGGTTTCTTTGTTTTGCTTTGAATTCTCCAGAACAGTATTAAAAAAAAAAAAAAAATCCAGAGAAAGAGAGGGAGAAATCCCAACTTGTCCCCCCCGCCCTTCCTTTCCTTTCTCTCCCCTTTTGGTTGTAAACAGGTTGGAAGCTGTAGCCTAAATGTCAGCGATTAGAAGTCAGAGGTGGGATGTGCCTCTGGTGGTCAGCCCTTATTTGCAGGGGGTCAGGCAGCGGTAGGACATCTGAAACCTTTTTGCAGCTGGAGCGAGCGGTGCCTGCTGCGAAGCTGCCCTCGCTTCCTCCCGGGCTGCGGCGGCCACTGCAGCCGCCGCCTTCGGCTCGCTGCTAATTGCTCCTAAAGCGTTCTTCTCCTCGGAGCGCCGGCCACCAGGATGGCTTGGAGACTCATGCTTTACTAATTTCCCTGTCTTCCAAGCTGAACCAATCCCCTCTAGGGAAGCTTCCCTCCTCCTTCACTCTTATCCCCTCTCCACCCCCCCAAAACAAACAAACAAACCCAACAAACAAAAACCACACAACAAAAAACAACCCCCAACCCCCCCAACTTGTTTGCTAGTGGAGGGTTTTGTTTTATTTTATTTCTTTTGCAGTGAAGTGATTGAGAAAGCCACCTGGAGCTTGTTGCCTGCTAGATCTCCCCCTCCCCCCCGCTGGAGGAGGGGTTGGGTGGAGAGGTTGGAAAGAAGTATATACTACAGGCAGACCCTGGAAAAGCAGATTATATGCTGGTCAGAGAGAGTAAAAAGGGAAGAGACATAATTAGGTCCTTTTCCTTCTTCTTTGCCAGCTTCCATGGAGGTCTTTCTCCCTCCTTTAATGAATCACTGATTTCTCGCTTCCGTTGCTGAAATAAAAAGTTCACACTTTAGCCTCCTCTTCCTTTTAAGCCTCTCAAGATTTATTGTGTCTCTTTCCCCACCCTCACCCTCCTTGTCTCAAAAGAAATCAGGGCCCTAAATGACCATTTTCTAATTGCTAACATGAGTCGTTTACTGAATCATGCATCTGACTTCAAAGCAAAAGGGGTTTTATTGGCATTGCAAAGGTTTCCCCATAAAATCCGTCTGAATATTTTGCTGTCTTTTTTATTTTTTTTTAACTAATGCAGTTTGCTTTGCCAGAAAGAAACAATTTTTCCATTTTGAAGACTATTTTAAGCAATTTTTCAAGCTATTATTTTCCTGGAGGGACATATGTTGTTGGTTTTTCCTATGATTCCATCTCTCCTAGTGTTTTTGTCATTTCACATATTGAATGTTATGACGGATTCATATTTCTAGCTCATCACTGAACCGTCAACTTTTCCAGAAATTAACAAGCATCTTCCATATGATGTACTATCTTTTAACACCAGATTAAACCATTATTGACTGACAGGATTTGGGCAGCATAGAAGACATTAAAGGTTGGTCAGTATTTGGCATTGTTAAAGAACTGATTTGGAACACAAGTGAGTGAAACATTTGCTAAGAAAATGGAGTAACGGAGAAATGAAGAGGTACAGAAACACAGTGTGTAGCTCAATATGTAAACCCAGAACTTTTTTGAAATAGAGGCAGTTAAATAACACAGATCAGTGGAATGCAATGGAAAACCGCCTATGTAATTCCATTTGGCATTTGGAATAAATCTTAATTGAAACAGCAGAAAATGGAGAAAAGAACAAACAGTTCTAAAATTAGACAGATTCATTGGATTAGGATGTTAAATATATGTTAACTTCACAACAGAAATTAGAAATTATTTTCTCCAATTATGGTGTTTATTCTGGAGAGAGTTGGCTCCTAAATTTATGTGTTCAGCTTCTGGGGCTGACATTTAAACAGACTTAAAAATGAAACCATTTAATGTTAGAATCAGTATATTTTACGATGTTGTTTATGGTACTTCAGTGTATTTATTCTGTATATATTTGCACTGAGTGGAAAGCATTTCAGAAATCTTTTTTTTGCAAATCTTATTTAGGCTTTACTTTTTGCAAAGGCTCTTCCTTTTGGTAACTAATAAAAAACATAGACAAATAAAACAAAATGTAAGGCAAATCCCTCCTTTTTGGGAATGCCTGACAGC